CCCTTTGCACCTTGCCTCTGCTGCCCAACCACATACTGTGGCTGCGCTTTCCTCAGAGCCTTCCCCCAGGTCTCCCCCAGCCCCAGTGTGGGGGCACAGCAGGGGCTACAACAGGAAAAGGGGTGCCAGGACAGGGTCCTGGGTCCCGCTTGCCATGACGGGATGGCACCTGAAGGGGTGCAGCAGTGGGGGAATACACAGCTCAGCAAGTAGCCGAGAAATGTTCTTGGTGGAAAAGGAGAACACGGTAAAACCTCCTTTTTCAACAGGGAAAGAAAATGCCTGACCACCTGGTGGAAAGAAACAAGTGCTAAGCAAAGCATGGCGTGAAAGTAGCTAAACAGCAGTTAATCCTCTTTTATGCCACTGGGATGAAAGCAGTTTAGTGAGGCCCATGAGACTACCTCAAGCTCAAGCCAGGGGATTTCAGCCCCAGGTCTCCAGCGCTCGCTCCCTGCCAGCTCCCAGCCAAGTGCCGTTTCCCCGTCTCCCCTGCCCTTCCGGAGAGCCCAATTAGCAATTAATCACCAGACAGGGAGAGTAACTCCCTCTCGCCACATGCCACTGAGCCAAACTTGAGAAGAGCTTCAGGCTTTCTTTTTTTAAAATAATTTTCTCCCTTAAAAGGGAGCCACAAACTAAAAGCAGGCACAAACACCTGTAAAAGCCCACAGCAACCCTCCACCTGCAAAAGCAAGCCCAGCCCTAAGCCACGGGGCAGCTGCCAAGCACAGCCTGAGCAGCATCGATGTGCCAGCACCTCGTTGGTAACAGCAATGCCCCGCTCCCTCTCTTTCCCATCAAGCACATCCATCTGCACACCTCACAGCCCTGCTGCATGGCTCAGAGGCAGGGATCCCCTCTCCCACATGCTTGCAGCTCCAGTAGAAGCCAGGAAGGCATCATGGGGCACAGGAGGAGTGCTGTGCTTCTGCATCAAGGCGAGGAAAACCCCTTCACTCTGCCCTGCCCCTGCCACCTGGCTCCAGCACCCAAGGGACGTCCTTCCATGGCCAGACGTCAGACAGGGACCTGTGGCCAAGAGCCCCTTGGAGGCCCCCTGAGCCTCCAGGAAATGCTGCAGTTCCTCTCAGCCCTGCAAAGACATCAGTGCCTCATGGCCTCCCACAACACTCCCTGCAATGCCGCTGGGACCCACTGTCTTGTTTGCAAGTGTCTTAAGGAAGAGGTGCCTGGGGTGAGTCACACTACTTTGAGAACCGAGCCCCCATCCTGCTCCTCCTGCCTCCCCCTGCATATGGCCACCCATCTCACCAGCGGGACCCGGGTTCCGCACGCCTCAGGGAAGCATGGCTACAGCTATCAGAAACCCTGGGACATTACTGCTCGGTCACCCATACCCCACCAGCTCCAGATGACCCCTGCTTGTGGCCCAAATGGCAGGTGGCACCACGCTGGCAGGTTAGCATCCTTTCTTCATGCTCATGACTCGGGCGTTGCTGAGAAGCTGCTGCCAGCAGTGAGCAGGGCCAGATATGGATGTCACAGAGGCAGGAGGGACCGCGGAGGGACACCGGCGACCCGGCGCCCCTGGGGCTGGCTGGGACTAGGGGTGCACTGACCTCCACCGTTCTTGTAGCAGAGGTAGGGGAAGCGCCAGACATTTCCCAGGCCGATGATCTCCCCAGCCACAGACAGGACGTACTCCAGCTTGTTGTTCCACTGCCCTCGCTCCAGGGTCTGGTCGTCCTCCTCCTTCTCCTTTTCCATGCTGGGGTGTGCAGGCACCGTTTCGCCATTACTGACGGCGCCGGGGACTCTGTAATCCATCCCACCTTCAGAAGGAGTTTCCTTTGTTATGTTCAGCACAAGCCACGCAACAAGGCAGAAGCCTGGGCTACGGGAGGCAGGAGAGGGGAGAGGACACACACAGGCATGCACACACACACACATGTTGAGTGGTTCCTTT